CGTGCGGGACTAGGCAAGGCAAGGGTACGACGTGCACGTGCAGGTGGGACGGGCGTGCATAGAGCGATGGACGATGCGCGGGCATTGGGCGTACCGGACGACGAGCGCGGGGCACAAAGCGACACGCGCGAGGCACAATGCGAGAACAAGCAGGCAAGCCTAATCCTCGTAGGAATAGGCAACGCGCGAATACTAATCCTCGCAGGAATAGGAAAAGCAGTTGAGTGTCGGAACGCGCGTGGGAGATCGTTGATGGGAGAAATCCTCGGAAGATCAGGAAACGTAACCGAGAACCTATTCCTAGTAGGAATAGGAATAGTGGATATGGGCTCGAGGCATGGTGCTACAAGGAATAGGAATGGCGCATGTGGGGCACGAGGCCTTAAGCTTCGAGGCGAGAGGACATACATGGGCGAAGGCGGTGCAGCCCTAGTCCTCGAGGACTAGGGCAAGGCGTGTGGGCGGCAGACGCATGGAAGGCGGCGAGTGGTTTTAGGCGTGTGGGAGACTTGGGAGCATTCTAGAAGTACTTGGTGTGCAAGTCAAGACATTAGGAGATCTAATAGATTTAGGATATATGGTAGTAGGATATTTACTAGCCTTAGCATTTAATATTTAATTGTTTTATTAGTTTCCTAGTAAGATTAGCATTAGAGGTAGTTGGCACCTATAAATACCCCATGTACCTCATCATATTTTATGTTGAATTGAGTATTGAATTGGTGAGCCAATCTTGAGGGGGAACTGATGTTCTTAACATGTGTTTAAACAAGGCCGTTAGTGCGTGTTTACATACATTGTCGGAGAGAAGGCCATTAGAGCGTCTTGAAGTCACAGTGTCTAGGAGAAGGCTGATAGTGCGTCTGTTAGATACACCTATCGTGGATAAACAAAGGCCTGAGTGCGTCGTTTGTTCACAACCCTTATTAGGCCGACGTTTTCAGATTGTTACTGACCAGCAACCGCTTAAGCATCTATTGGAGCAAAGGATTGTTACCCCCGAGCAGCAGAAGTTCGTATCTAAGCTTATGGGGTTTGACTTTGAGATACTCTATCGACCGGGTCGACAGAATTCAGTAGCTGACGCACTATCCCGACGAACGGATGTAGCCGAGCTAAATGCTATCACTGGGCCAGCTTGGACTATTTGGGAAGAAATCAGGAAGGCGCAAGTGGACGACACCTATTCCCAGGAGCTACGCCAATCGATCGAAGCAGGTAAGACAACTGCTATCGACTACGAGTTGCATAATGGTCTGTTACTTCACCGAGGCCGAGTATTCGTTCCCGACAGTGGGCAGTTACGTGAGCAAATCATGCAGCACTTCCACGACTCTAAAATTGGAGGCCACTCGGGTGTCTACCGCACGTTGATGAGAATAGCCAACACCTTCTTCTGGCCCGGACAATAGAATATCGTCCGAGATTACATAGCACGGTGCGACGATTGTCAGTGCACTATGTTTGACTCACGACGACCGAGCGGGCTGTTACAACCTCTACCGGTACCCGAGGCGATCTGGGAAGACATTACTATGGATTTCATCGAGGGACTACCGAATTCTAATTGATTTGACGGTGTTATGGTTGTAGTGGATCGTCTCACAAAGTATGCTCACTTCATACCCATTACCCATCCTTACACCGCGAAGTCGATTGCCAGGTTATTTGTGGAGTATGTGATGAAACTGCATGGAGCGCCGAGATCCATCGTCTCTGATCGAGACCGGATTTTTATGAGCAGCTTTTGGTCTGAATTCTTCAAGTTGGAAGGGACTAAGTTATCTATGAGCTCAGCCTACCACCCACAGACAGACGGACAAACTGAGGTAACCAACCGAACCCTTGAGTAGTATCTGAGATGCTACGCCCATCAATTCCCGAAGCGGTGGGAAAACTTTTTGCTTTGGGCTGAGTATTGGTACAACACCACTTACCATGAGTCGACCAAGATGATGCCATTTGAGTTGGTATACGGGCGAAGACCCCCGACACTGATCAATTATTTGGGGGAGTACAGTTAACGATGAGGTTGGTCGAGAACTAGAAGAACGAGATTTGATGTTACGTGAGCTAAAGAAAAATCTCGAAGGCTCAATTAATCGAACCAAAGCTGTAATATCCCAATATTTTATCGGTATAAACTATGTTTTAGTTCCGATATAATAATGTTATCAAATTATTATTGTCGGAATTAATTATTTTCAGTCGAGATTACCGAAATTTATTTTCGACGTACCGTTTACGTTCGGAATAATTTTGGAAATTAAGCATTATGTTTAATTAAATAATTAAACATAAGTTAAGTGATTAATTAATATTAATCACGCATTTAAGCCATATAGCCGTCTAAAATTTCTTCATAATACACAAAGCCGTAAGGGAAAATTTATTTCCCTAACTTTTGCTAAAAATTTTCTAAGATTGAAGAAAAGAGTTTCCTTCCATAATCAACTAAGTACACGTGGCCTTAGCTACTAGTATAACAGAGAGAGTTTACTTAAAATTTTCCCACTTTTTCCCATTGAAACGCTCAGCCATATACTACCCTCTTCAGCAAGCAATAAGTTCTATATTTTCCCTCAACTCCTTATACTATCGCACGACATATATAGAAGAATCGCACGGCAATTTGAGCATACGCACGGCACCCGCAAGGACAAGGAATCACGCCCTATTTTTCCATTTCGGTCGGACGATTGACGAGGTAACGTCCTCCTCATCTTGTAATCTGGTTGGTAAAGTCATGTTAAGGTTAAGTGTTCGAATCATATTCGAGAATTTCAAGTAAAGCCGTGCTTAAGTCCGATTATGCTTAAAGTAAGATCATGATCAAATAACTTTCGATTTTCCCGGCAACTCTCGAACTATTAATGTTTAATTGTTCTGTTTAGCCTATTTTATGTTCAGTAAGTCCAGTTAGTCGAAGCAAAGTGAGGTTTTGTCGATGAAATGGCCCAAGCCGTCGCTAGCGCTTATCGCGCGTGGCCACGGGAAGCCGCGGTTCATGTCTTATTGCCTTCAGTAATGATCATGTTTGTCCGCGTGTTTATGTCTTAAATTGCCTCAAGATAATGTTCATGTTAAGTTGTTCTGGAGTTGCCGAGGAAGAAGGTGTTTTGGCCGGGAGACGGCGTATAGCCGTCGGCGGCGCACGGCGCGCCCGCCACGGCCTTTTCATGTTCATCGTGCATTAGTTACGTTTTCGAGTCATTGTGATAACTATATTCATGTTAAGTCAGAAATTGTTAAATGAAGTCAGTTCGGTCGGAAAATTTTGTCGGACGGCCGGCAAGGGCCGGCCGTGGTCGCGCTGCCGCACACAGCGGCAGCAGCGCATCGGCTAGCAGTCCGTGCGACAGGAAGCGCGTGCAAGTGAGGCTGCGTACGGTTGCCTGTGCGCGGTAGCGTGCGGGCGAC